TCTCACACTGGGGTCTGTGGGCCCAACAGCAACACCGTTTCCTGGGATGGGGGGGCGAGGCAGGGGGCTTGTTAAAAGCACTGATCCCTGCTCCCACCCCCAGAACCAAGTAGTCTCACTCTCTGGGGGTGGGCCTGGGTATCTGCAGTTAACATGCCCCCCAGGGAGATTCTTATGGCCCTGAAGTTAGGAATTTCCCTCAGTGGGGCCCTCTGAAGTCATCCTGGGGAAACGTGGAGTCTGGGTTCTCAGCCTGGCTGCACAGGAGGTCACCCAGGAGCTGGGAACATCTTGATGCCTGGGCCACACCCCAGACCAGGAATCAGCATCGTCAGAGGTGAGGCCTGGGCACTGGTGTTTTTAACCATTTCCCCAGGCGATTCTGAAGCACTCATGGGACGAGAATTACCAGCTGTGAGCATCCCGCTCTGCTCGCCCCCACTCCCCACCAACAGGCTGGTCTGTGCCCAAGTCACGTCTGGAGGGTCCATATCGAGGTCAAGACCCTCTTGTCTCTGCCGGGCCCGGGGACTGAATGCACCAGGATTCTTCTCCTTTGCAGGGAGAGAGTGGAGGGGAGAGGAAGCCCATGGGTGGGTCAGCAGCAGATGAGGGTCTAGGCCAGCCTCTGCCATTCCTCCCCAGGGTCACCTTCTGCTCCAGAAAATGGGTCTCACATCCATTCCCCCTTCTCATGCCAAAGGAAGCAGCCGGGTGGTAGAAAGCGCTTTACGGGGACGTGCATTCATCAGTAAAATCACTGCAGGGCGGGCCCCCCTGAGAAGAGGGGTCGAGTTCAGAGGTCTGCTGGTTTGGGAGAAGGTGACAACACCAAACACCAGATCAGAGCCCCAAACAAGGGGCACGACTTAGGAAGTGATCAAACTTTAATGATCGGGGAAGGGTGCCCTTGGACAGCTTTTAGGAGTCAATAAGGCATTTGGCTGAACCACCTGCATGGGGGTCTGCAAAACACAGCCCCACACATATCGGGAGAAGAGGAGACACTGGGGCCATGCCGCGAGCCTGGGGACCAAAGGCAGAGGCTGGGATGGCCATGCTGGGGCTGAGGGGACAGGGCAAGGCCGCCTGGGGTCTTTCGGGGCATGCAGTCCCAGGCATCTGCTGGGTGGCAGGCTGCCCTACCCTCAGTGAGGTGAGGGCGGTGGGGGCGGCACAGCCCGCTGGCTCTGAGCACATCTCAGGGGTCCCTTTTCATTCTCGCGAGCGCTGACAGGCCTCCCAGAAGCTGGATCATTAGTGCCGACGTCTGACAGAAACGGTACCTGAGGTGCCAGCAGCCTTCCCCCTCCTTCTGCCCCCTCCGAGGCTGCCCTCCCTCTGGCCCAGAAATGATTTGAGATCCAAATGCTGAGAGAAAGGTGGGGAAAGCAAAAGACTGCTCCCGGCTGTTTCCTTTGCCAAAAAGTGTAATTGGCACGGCTGGCCGTGAAGCCACGAGCCCCCAGACTCCCCGACCCGTGGCGCTGGGAGACAAGAGCAGGCCACGGCAGCTGCGAGCCTCATGGGCCGGCTGCCTTAACACACCAGTGCTCAGTGCCCAGGGGCAATCAGCAGAAACGGGGCATCCTAGCGACCAGCTAGTCCTCGTGCACACGTGTGCATGAGGCCGGAAAGGCCGGGAGTCCAGTCACCCCTACAGCTTCTCCAGGCCCCAGAGGAGCCCGGGGCTCAGAGCTCAGGGTCTTGGGGAAGCTGCAACAGGTCCTCTGGAATGAACGTCAGGAGATGTGCAAACAAGACAAAACTCACCCACAGCAGCCTGCAGGAATGTGCTCAAAGCCTCATCAAGGAGCATGGTTGACTCCTTCTAGTGTGTGTTTCTTTCCTTCCTTCCTTCCTTCCTCCCTCCCTCTCTCCATCTTTCCTTTTCTTCCTTCCTTCCTTCCTTCCCTCCCTCCCTTTCTTCTTCCCTCCCTCTCTCCCTCCCTTCCTTCTTCTCTCCCTTCCTCCCTCCCTCCATCCTTCCCTCCTTCTTCTCTCTCTTCTTCCTTCAGCTTCTAGTTATCTGGTACAACTGCTCTTGGCAGTCATTTACAATAGCATCGACATTGCAATCACACGTGCTCCTGAACTCAGCAGTTCCGTCCGCAGCCTCTGTCGCCGGTGCTCCGGCTGGTGGGCACCGGGACCAGCCAGGCACAAGGGCCCACTGTGGCCTAGGATGAGAGACCCACACGCCTGTCGGGAGCGGTGGGGCAAGTCGGCGACAGCGCCTCCAGCAAGAGAAGGCTGAGCAGCTGTTCCAGAGAAAGGGGCAGAGCTCTGTGATGAGGGGAAGATCTCCAAATGCATTGGGTCACAGAGAAGAAGGCCCCAAGTATGCATACTATGCTACTCCTTGGGTAAAAATAAAGGGGCGGGGTGGGAAGGGGATTAAGCAGTAACCGCAGTATTTTCTTTCCTAAAAATAGACCTGAGATAAATATTGCAAAATGCCAGCATTTGCAAAATCTGGGTGGTGAGCTCGCAGTTACTGTTACACAGTTTTCCGTTTCAAACTTTGAAATATTTTTAAAAGTAACACAATTGGAGGTGGGGGAGAGATGACTAGGCGGAGCACAGGGGATGTTCAGGGCAGTGGAAATAGTCTGAATGATGTTATAACGATGGATTGCGTCACTATACATTTGTCCAAACCGGTGGAATGTACACCCCCAGGAGTAGACCCTAAGGTAAACTGTGGACTTTGGGTGATAATGATGTGTCAGTGTAGGCTCATCTTTGGTAAAAAATGTGCCATTCTGGTGAGTGATGTTGATAATGGGGGAGGCCATGCATAAGCAGGGGCAGGGGGTTTGCGGGAAATCTCTGTACCTTCCTCTCAATTTGGTTGTGAACTTAAAACTGCTCTGAAAACAATTAAGTCTTTAAAAAATAAGAAAATTGAAATGGGGAGCTCTTATATAAATGCGTTTATTCTCGTAAATAACGGCAGCTGACACTCATAGTGCTCAGACGGGCCAGCCACACTTTTAACTCACGGAATTCTCACGACAACCGTCTGAGTTAGGTTTCTTACGATCCCCCTCTATACAGGGGAAACTGAGGCTGGAGAGGTACAGTTTTTCAGGTGGAGCACAGAGCTACTAAGGGAGAGGTCGGGATTTGAACCCAGGCAGCCTGGCACCAAAGTCTGTGCTCACAGCCGTCATGCACACTGAACAGCCCAGGGAAGGCATCCAGGAGGCTGGAGTCAGGGGGGCTGAGGGAAGTGTACTGTTGACTGCACCTTTTTTGTACTATTTGAATCGTTTACATGTGCACATGGTACTATTTTTTTTAATGATTTTTTAAAGTTAGGTAAATCCCAGTTACCACAAAATAACAGAATCCTGACAGGCGTGGGGCTGGGGGAGACGGCTGGGAATCTCCTCTCAGGGGCTGAGGGCTCTAAAGCCACCAGGCCACAGAGAGGCTCCCGGCGTGGACCCAACTCCTGGCTCGTCCCCACAGTCGCAGCAGTTCTGGGCCCGGGGGCCCTCAGCTCCCGTCTGCTCAGCATCTCTCCTCCCCTTTCTTCTGACACAGACCCCTCCCTCTTGCTGCAGGTTGGACATGTGACCCCAGGTGGGCCACGGTGATTGGTCTAGGGGACAGGCACCGGATCTAAGCCCAGCCAATCAGAATCCTTCCTTGGCTTCCTTTAGTGGAAGCTCCTTTTCCTTGGTGGCAGATCCTGGTTGTGCAGCCCAGGGTGCCAGCAGGTCCCACACCACGAAGAAGTATGTGGGGCAGAAGTATAAACCCAGAGAGGGAGGGGCAAGAACCAGCCAGTCTCAGCTTCATTCACATCCTGGATGCTTTGTCTCAAAGCCAGCTCCCTCCCTGCCTTCCCTGGGTTGGTTACATTCCATCAGTTTGCATCAGATCCTGACTGACAGAAGCCTATAGCCCAAAACTAGGGAAGCCCAAACCTGATGGTGAGGGGTTATGGGGAAGACGAAGACGAGAATCCCACCCCTGCCACCTGCTGTGTGGTCTCAAGAGAGTTACTTAACCTCTCCGAGCCTGATGCGCTCCCTGAGCTTCCACTGGCCACTCATAATCCTCAAATGTAAGGATTAACTGTACTAATCCAATCCCAGGCACACTGGTAACTAGTAAAATTAATAATATGGTGACAACAACTAAGTCCACTATCTTCGAAAATAAGTCCTCACCAACAGCATTCAACCAAAACCACAGGCCGTGGAAAAGGGGATGCCAGCTGGGAGACCGAGCAGCAGAAAGGCAGGCAGCTGGCGTCCCTTTTTCTTCTTGTGTCCCTCCAGATTCACCTCCACTCTCCTCTCTGCCCTGGAAGAAGGATGTGTGACCTTCATCACCAGCTCCCTTGCCCTCTGGCTCCCGGGGGCTTCAGCCAACGCGGCCTCAGCGGGATGCAGGGTGGGCAGGGAGTGAGGCCAGGACGTTGATTTCCCTGTAGGGTCCCCAAGGCTGGCTGCGTCCCTGACGCAAAGGTCAGGGCTCCTTCAGGTGCCCTCGCCACCCCCACCCCTCTGCCTGCTGATGGGTCCCCCTACCCCGTCCACCCCAGGGATGGGAGTGGCACCCACAGTGCTGGCCCAGAATTCTGCACTCTTTCAGGAGGCTTTGCCCACACTTTGTAAATATTCCCTTTTTAAGCTCTCCTCAAATTACCCAGTGTGCGGGTCATCTGTTTTTCACGGGGTCCCCGAATGGCTGATGGTCCTTTTCCTGGTCTCCCCAGGTCCTCATCAGACAAGATCCTGTTCTGCAGAGGACACTGCTCTGGGGTCCCCACTCTGGCCACTGTCCCCATTTCCCTTCAAGCTTCTGTACTCCAGCCGGCCTCTCCAAAATCTGTCAGATCCCAAACCCCGAGAAAGGGCCCTGATGAGAAGCAAGTGGCTGCCAGCACCTGATGGGCAGCGGCCCCAACGGGAGGCACGCGGGGTCACGCCTGGGCTCAGGAAGTGTCTGGGGAAGCAAACCACCGATTTCTGTACACCAGAGAAGGTACCTGAGAGTGTATATTTATAGAAAGATACATAGAAATGGACAGATTGCATCTACCTATCGATACAGAGAGCTCCGCTGGAGAACCATGTAGGTACGTAGCTACGTATATATTTGCCAACGGTAGAACACGAGGTTTCCACATCTTCGGTCACAACCGACAACACACAATTGCCCGATCTTGGAAAACCATGCTTGTTCATGTGGTTGGTTCCCTCTCCAGAGGTTTCCAAAATGGGAAGCCTGGCTTCAGAGGCAGTCTTTAAATATATGTGTGTGTGTCTTTCTAAAGAAGAGAGGAGAAGGAGGGAAGGAGGAGAAGTGTATTTTCGTGTTGTACATGGCAGAAAGATGGGGCTGGTTTTGGGCAAGGGCATGATCCCACTGGAAAGGCGTGAATGATAACTCCAGAAAGGATAGCTCAGGTTTCTAGGTTGGAACACAAAAATACAACAGCTGGGGAGGTCGTGCGCCTGTAGTCCGCTGAAATGCCTTGTAGCGCGTTACAACCAGTTAAGGGCAAGATAAAATCAGAATAATACTAAGAGGTAGCAGCTGTTTGTCTTCTCGGAGGTTTCGAGGGTCTCTGGAAGCTGGGCCAGGTGAGGGTGTTCTCCCGGAAGAGACGGGGGTGGGCAGAGTTCTGGCGGAGGGCTCCCCAGGGCTGGGAAGGGTGTGGGCCCTCCTTCATGGACACTGCAGCTCCAGAGCCCAAGGGAGCTTCTGCCACTTAGAGGCCACTTCCACACCCAGAGTCATTTCTTGGGTAAGTTATGCAGTCCCCACAACATATAAATAAAAGTTTACTTCTGTGTTTCCATATATCTTCTACATGGAGGCTAGCTGAATATTAGTGGAGTAACAATAATTATTAATAACAATAATCGTCATAATAACAATAATTAATAGAATAATAATGCCTTGGGGGCGTGGGGGGAGGGGGTCCTTCATATGGTGGGCCGGGCTCTGGGGAGGGGCTCTATGTCTGGTAGAAGTGGTGGTAATGGTGGTGGTGTTCGTGATGATGGTGATGCTCGTGTCTCTGGACCGCCTGGCCGGCCTGGCTCTCATACACCACCACGGTGGGCAGCTCCCTCACATGGTCCCGCCCCATGACAGCGCCACCTGGGGCCAGCGGCGCCTGCAGGCCCCGGCACCCCTGCTGGCTCTCCTTGGCTCGGTGCTTGGGCTTCTTGTGCCCGAGGGGTGCCAGAGTGGGGAGGAGGGCCGGGCTGGCAGCCAGGTGGGCAGACGGGGACACCGCAGGGATGGTGGGTCCCAGAGGGGGTTTGCTTCTTGCCCCTCTGGCCATGTGGCCCACACCCACACTCTTGCCCTGGGCCTTGGGGGACCTCACAAAGTGCTTGCTCCCGTCCTGGGTGCCCCGGAGCCGCTGCTGGACCTCCGAGACCTTGGCGAACGGGGTGTCAAGGAAGTGGAAGGAGCCAGGGTCCACACCATGGGGCTTGTGGTGGGGGACATGGAGGACTTCCGGCTCATGGGAGCGAGATCGAGTGGGGTTGGAGATGCGGGAGGGCAGTTCTGACTTCTGGGCCACTGATGGGGAGCCTAGGAACAAAATGCAACAGAATTTAATGAGCACCTACTGTGTGCTGGTGTGCCCCGTGCCCCAGAAATCACCCCCGCCCCCAGTTCTCCAAGACTGATAAACACCAGCTGTTCCTCACTGGCACTCCCCCTGACTGCTCCTCACTGCCTTGCAGGAAACCTCTCCGGAATGGAACTTGGCCATCTGCTAAGTGAGAAGAACTGTTTCTCTGTTAGGTCGTAAAAAAATGAATTCTCTTTCGAGAGAGAAGCGAAAGAGAGAGCCAGAGACATTGATAACTGGCTGAGGTCACTGGGCACGAAGGAAATCTATAGGCATGTTCCTTCACCCATGGAGGGAACCCACAGAGGAATTAACACAGGAGGAGGAAGGGGAGAAGGGAGTTGGGGAGCGAAATTCAGTGGGTTACGTCTTCATTTACCTTAGCAAGAGCTAAGATGTCAAGAGCTCATCAAGACAGAGCAGCGTTTTGCTTAGCAAAGCGGGGGTCCTCATCGGAAGAAATGGCCAGACAGGGGGCAGGGCGGGGGTGGGTTGGGGTGCAGCAAGGACCTGTTGTTTTCCATTGTAATATAAGCCCTCAGATGCTATTTGATTTGGTTCAACTTTGTGTACATATTACTTTAATTTTTAAAATGTTTTAAATGTCATCTCCTCCAATAATATCTTTAACCTGTCTAATAAAAGCTCCACCTTCCCCCATCCCCCGGGGAACAGCGACCACCACCTGCCCACCAGCCACGCCCTGCTCTCCCCGTTCACAGGGGCACAAGGCGCCTTACCGGGCCCAAACTGGGACGTGTAGTTTTCTATCCCGGCGAGATCTAAGTAGTGGTTTCTCCTCTCGATGTTCTCATCCACGCAGTGGTGGTAGCAGCCAGGTTGCTCCAGATGGCTGTCGCCCTGGAACCTGGGGCGGGAAGGCAAGTGAGCGGGTGGGCATGGGCTCCTGGGAAGACACCAGGACAAATCCTTCTGGACCCTTCGGGGTCTTGGGAAGGGGGTGGGGAGAGAGTGGCCATCTCGGCATTCTGTGCCTCCATTTCCTCCCCTGCTGATGAGACACAGACCCCTGCCGGCTGCCCTGGGTCTCCCGGAGGACTGGATAGGCCACAGCCAAGGAAAGGGATTACTGGTCAGAACTTAAGGATGCCCCAAAGCCAGCCTTCGAACCCTGGTTCCCTGGGGGCTGCAGGCAGCAGAAGCCCCCAGACCACTGGAGTTGAGGCTGGCAGACTGCATAACCTGCCCAACGGCCGGAGTGGGCCTTCCCAGTGTGTGTGCGGAGGGGGCGGGGAGAGAGGCTCTGCCAGAGGCCACCGTTCTCCCCCTGCAGGATTCTGGGCTCCCTGCCCCTCCCCTTCAAGGGCCTCTGTGAGCTGCCCCCTGACCTCCCTGCCTCCCCACTCACCCCAGCACAGCCCCACATCTGCAGCCAGCCTGGGGGCCCCTGGTTCTTAGCCCTCTCTCTTCCCCCATAGCTAGTGCTTCTCCAACACCCGTCACTTCCTTTCCATTCTCACGATAGGTTACCATATCCTCACGCCTCCTACGTTACTGTCATTGCATGTTGCTGTTTGCTCAATGCTTGTCTTTAAACAGTCTCTCTCTTTTCGTCCTTCCCTCCCTTCCTTCCTTGCATTTAAAGAAATAACAACAGGTGAAAGGTAATTGCAGCCTTATAATCGTTTATCCACAATTTGGAAATCCACAAAGCCTGAAAACAAAGATTTTTCATAACCCATGTGGCAGTCCTGCCCTAAAAGGACGTGACGGTCGCTCGAGTCTTCATGCCGTGTGTGTGAACAGGCACCCGTCTCCCTGCAGAAATACCAACGTGCTAAATCCTGAGGGGCTGACAGATCCCAGATATAATGCATGAGAAATACACCAAGCACCTTCCCCAACTCCACAAATGCTGAACTCCAAAGCAATCTGGCCCAAAGCGTTTCGGAAGAAGCAAGTGGACCTACATTTAACCATTTTTAAAAACTGAGTTTGATTTGTGAGCCGGTCCCCCTGAAGAGACTGAGGACTGGAACCTCCTGCTCAGAGTCCCTCAGATGCGGGTAGACAGCTGGTGCTCAAGACGTGCTCAGCTGCGCTGGGCCGCTGCCGCCGCCCGTGCCCACCCTACCTGAGGGGGGCGCGCCGCTTCTTTTCCCAGCTTCGCAGCTCCTCGGCGGGCTTGGTCTCCGCTCTGGGCCTGCTGCTCTGTAGGTCTGAGTCCCGCCCGAGAAACAGCCCCATGAGCAGCCTGCTCCTGTGCCCGCCAGCCTCCTGGTTTTCCAGCTTTGCCCTGCCCAGGTTTTCCAAGCTGCCTGGCATGCAGCGCTGGAAAGCTGGCCCAGAGCAGCTTCACGATGGCTCTGTGTGAGGGTTCACAGAGCCAGGACTAGAGAGACGGGTCTCACAGCTCCCTGTGCGGTTTACCTCCTCCCCCAGGCTCACCCCCTCCCCCAGGCTCACCCCCTCCCCCAGGCTCACCCCCTCCCCCAGGCTCCTTAGCTGGCCCTCAAGGCCCTGTGCCTCTCCACCCCCATCACGACACAAGCCTTTGCTGGAGCCCACGCCCACCTCCAGTGCTTTGCTTATGCAGGGCCTTCCATCTGGAACCCCCTCCCCACCCAAACCCTACTCCTTCAAGGACCCGCTCCAGTCCCACCTGTCCACAGAGTAGCTCCCGGAGAAAGCCCCCAGGACTGCCCTCCACTCCTCCCAGGTGGGGATTCGATCCCTCCTGAGAGCTGGGGGAGGACCGGCCCCTGGGATGCCCTCCAGCCCCTCACCAGGGTGACTGAGGAGGACGCTCTTCTTGCCCTGGCTGCCATCGGGGGCCACGGTGAGCTTCACCCGCAGCGTCCTGCTCGACGCAGGGGAGTGGTTGACGGAGGAATCGACCACCTCGTAGATGGTGTGCAGCAGGCTGGTGATGTCCTGGATGGGGAGGGAAGCAGAAACCCACACATGTGCACTTAAAACACGGGTATCAGAGGGCCCGGTGAAACCCCTCTGGTCCCCCCAGAGCTGAGCCTAAGGCCAAAACTAGGATGTAAGAGGTCCATTTGGAAGGGAATCTGAGGATGTAGGAGTGAGGAAGCAGGGAGAGCGAATGACCTGGAAGTCCCGGCACGGCCGCAGGCAACCAGGCTCAGGCATACTGGGGCCCTCGGAGGGACTGTGTGGACCCCGCCTCAGGGAGCTCTCATCCCTCGCTGGTTGAGAGCTGCCCCCAGAGTCCCTACATCCCCCAGACTTCTGGGCTGTCCCGCAAGGCTGCACCAGCTCCCAGCACCAGAGAAAGCCCTTACGGTGGGCACTGTCCCCCAGAGACACAGGCAAACTCCGAGGTGGGCAGGGGGTATTGGGGGTGGGGCAGCCACAGCATCTGCTTCAGGTCTGATGAGCACCTTCTGAATGAAAAGTGCAGAAGTAGATGTGTCCCTAAAGATAAACCATTCTGTGAGAACCTGACCAAATCTCATCTTCTCTCCGGCCTCAGTTACCCCTCAACCAGAACAGTGGTGTCCAATCCGTGCTCCCTGAGGCGTCTCAAAGACTTCTAACTGGGGGATAGAGGGGTGACCGGGTCTCCCGGCATCTGCTAAGGTCGTTTGTCTGAGGGAAGGCTTCCTGCTTTAAATGACGTTGGAAACCTCTGGAAAAGGTATTTGTTCTCTATAGGTCAGGTCCATAGATGGCCAATTATCTGCCCAGCAACTCTTCATGAACACGGATGGACTCAGCCATCCCTTGATCCCCACCCATAGCTCTTAGAGGTGACACTGAGCACTGCCGTGGCCAGGCAGGTATGTGGATGGGTGACTGGGAATGGTGGGGCCAACTGGGGCACTGGCCCCACCCACAGGAGGTGGTGGCCACACAGCTCAGCTGACTTCCCTGTGGCAACGTGGGCTGAGAGTCATCCCAGAGAAGCCAGAGATCCAGAATCTCTTTAAATCTTCAGAATCTTTGATACTGGCAACTACATTAATTTTTTTCAATACTATTCCTCTCTCCCCCCAGCCCCTGGCAAGCACCATTCTATTTTCTGTCCCTATGAATTTGACTACTCTAGGAACCTCATACAAGTGGAATCATACAGTATTTGTCTTTTCGTGACTGGCTTATTTCACTTAGCATAATGTCCTCACGGTTCATCCATATTGTCACGTGTCAGAATTTCCTTCCTTTTTAAGGCTGAATAATATTCCACTGTAGAGATATACCATATTTTATTCATCAACCTAGTGTCCATTCATCGATGGACACTAGGTTGCTTCTACCTTTTAGCTGTTTGAATAATGCTGCCATGAACATGGGTGTACAAGTATCTCTTGGAGACCCTGCTTTCAATTCTTTAGGGTATACACCCAGAAGTGGAATTGCTGGGTCATGTGGTAATTCTGTTTGATTTTTTGAGGAACCACCATACTGTTTTCCACAGCAGCTGCACCATTGTGCATTCCCACCAACAGAACACAAGGGTTCCAATTTCGCCACATCCTCATCAACACTTGTTATTTTCTTTCTGTTTTGTTTTTATAGTAGCCATCTTAATGGGTGTAAGGTGGAATCTCATCGTGGTTCTTATTTGCATTTTTCTAATGATTAGTGATGTTGAACATCTCTTCATGTGCTCATTGTCTATTTGTATGTCTTCTTTGGAGAAATATCTATTTAAATCCTTTGCCCATTTTTTAATTGAGTTGTTTGGTTTCTTGTTGTTGAGTTGTAGGAGTTCTTTGCATATTCTCAATCTCAATCTCTTATCAGATAGATGATTTGCAGATATTTTCTCCTATTCCGCAAGCTGTCTTTCACCCTGTTGACTGTGGCCTTTCATGCGCAGAAGTTTTTCACTTTGACGTACTCCCATTTATCTACTTTTACTTTTGTTGCCTGTGATAACTTAGTTTTTAACAAAACCCTCTAGGGGGCTGGGCCCGAACATCTGGGGGCTAGATTGGGATTGTGGGGGCCGCCAGTTTGAGACCCAGGCTCCAGCCACTCACTTGCTGGCTCGCTCAGCAATCCTGGCTCTTCCGGCGAGGCCCACAGATGTCTCCTTTTCTCCCTTCCTCCCCTTCTCTTGAGCGGCTCTGCACAGCCACGTGTGCACTCTCTCCCACCATCTTAGGAGGCCCATGAAGGGCACGTCATTATCTCCATTTTATGGATGAGGAAGGTGAGGTCTGCCAACATCGCCCACCAAGCATCATACACATACACCAGCCTGGGGCCCTGGTGTGTGGTCCCAGCAGGTCCCGGCTGGTTCAGGGCAGGAACAAGCGTGCTTTGGCAATGCCAGCTGGAAAATCAGTCCAGTACAGGGTTGCACACTGGCACACAGGACGAGGTGCTAGTGAATGCACGCTGCACGAATGAATGCCTGAAGACGAACAGGTACTTCCTCCTGGGTTGGGAGATCGGCCCAGACACCAGCTCTGGGCTGCGGCTGCAGTGAGCTGGGGGCCCACCCGCCCTAGCACACAGGAACATGCATGCCGACGGCCAGAGAGCGTGGAGGGGAGCAGTATTTATAGCCAGATTTGAGGAGTGGCTTTGGGGCTAAAAATAGACCAGGGGAAACACCAGGCTGGGTCCTCCCTCGACTGGAAGCCAACTTTCCCGCTCCTGGGCAGGAGGAAGACACGATCCAGGGAAGGCTTTCTGCAGGGTGGGCTAGGGCACCCTCACTTCCTTGTGGGTTCTCTCGTGGCCAAGGGGTAAAGGAGGGCGGATGCAGAATCAGAAAGCAGTGCCTGCTGGCAGGCTTCCACGAGACCTCCAAGGTGGGGGGCAAACCCTTCTATGAGGCTCCTCAGCACGTTCTGCACCAGCAAGAAGGGAGACTGCAGCTCCCAGAGGCGGCGGCGTCTTGGCCGCTGCACGTGTCAGAAGAGAGGGCAATGCCCCCACACCCCTGAGAAGCCCAGCCTGGCTGTCCCCCGCGCGGCCTTCCCAAACAGCCGGGCCACCCCAATCCAGCTCAGTGACTCAGGTTTCAAGTCTGTGACATGTTTCTCTCTGAAGACAATGACACCCCAGCTGCCATTCCCAACAGGCTGGGGAGGAAGAGCGGCTCCTCGCTCTGGAAAAACAGTAACCCCTCCCACAAAGCATCACAGCTGGAGGGGACTTGGGGGGTCACTTAAGCCAGCCCCCATCTCTGTGGGGTCCCAAACCAGGAAGGGTCTCCACCGCTTCCCAAGCACCAGGCTCCTCTGGGGCTTTGCCTGTGCAGAACCCACCCCCTTCCCCTAATGACTGTACCTTGATTTTATTTTGTGAGCCAAATCTATCCCCTTGCCCACTTTCAGTCCATGTGGCTCCTGTATCAAATAACTTCCCTCAGCTCCAGAATGAGCACATGACCCAGAATTGGCCACTGAAAGCATCACAAACTCATGGCAAAACGGTTGGAGACTGTGTCTGTGCTGTTCCCTGGTGTCCTCGCCCCTAGTACATAGTGGATGCACACAGCAGGTGCTCAATATGAAGAGAGGGAGTGGGGAACACAGGGAGGAGAGACGTGGGAGGAGGGCTGAGGGCAGGGCGAGGAAGAGCAGGCCATGACGAGGCCATGGACAGAGCGGCTGGCCGCGCCCTGAGGGCTGGGGTGCTCATTCCTGTAGCAGTGGAGGGAGCCACTGCCTGGCCTTCGTGTGCCCACCCAGCCGGGGCAGACTGGCTGAGGTGGGAAGGAGCCTTGGGTGGTCCCAGCCTCGCCCCAGAGCTCCGAGACCACAGAGAGCCCTCCTCCGGGGAGGCCTCGGGGCTCTGCGCCTGCCTCCTGCCCCTTCCTCTCTGTCACCTCTGCCCACTCACCAGCAGCTCTGGGAGCCCCTGCAGGTCTCCCTGAAGCCCCAACAGCCTTGCTCCACCCTCCCTCCCCATGGCTGCCTGTCACCCTGCCCTTAGGAGCAGGACCCACTTCAGGAGAAGGGGATGGGGTAGCCGTGGCCAGTCTCACGATGAATGTTCCTGTGCCCGAGGGCGTGGCCAGCGGCCGGAGGCCAGGCAGACACACTCACCTCTCGGGTGACCTTGCCATTGTTGTCAAAGTCATACAGGGTGAAGGTCCACTCCTGCCGGCTGTCCTCCTCCACAGACACGTCACACTGTAGCTCCTGGACACAAACAGACAACACATGGGCGTGGCTGGTCACCCAGTGGCTGTGACACCCAGAGGCCAGGTCACGGGGCTGCCCTCCCCAGACCCTGCGTAAGGAAGAGCACAAGGAACAAGACATGATGGGCCAGGGAGAGAGGGCAGGCCAGGCAGGGGAGGGGAGGGGAGGGGAGGGCAGGGGAGGGCAGGGGAGGGGAGGGGAGGTTTGGCCTGGGGAGAGATGCCTGCAGGGGTGCCAGACAGTTCCTGGGTCTTCAAAGGCAAAGGAAACACAAGGGGGAGGGGTCTGAGGCCTCAGGAAGACTGAACTTGGACCAAGGGCTAGAAGCTCCTGGAAGACACAGGGAACAGTAACTTGGGAAGCTGTGGGGGGACCCCCAGGGTGGCACCTGACCTGGAGGCAGGTAAGGGTAACCAGTAAGAGCCAGAGTCAGCCCCAGGTGCCAGCCCCTGCATGGCCCTCCACAGCTGCATGACCCCGGGTGTGTCTTTTCTGTGCCTCAGTTTCCCCTCATGTAAATTATGGAAAACGACAGCATCCACCTCATTGTGTTGTTGGCAGCATTAACTGGCCTACCCCATGTCCATCCGGCCCACCTCGGCATTCCCCCGTGGCTGTGGTGGACAGATCCTGACCTCCTGCTCCGAGGGCAGCCCTGAGGAGCCGGGGACTGAATGCCCAGGCCAGACCTGACCAAGGGAGGGGCCAAGCCGCTAGATAAGACCCCAGCCTCCTGGCCCCCATAGGGACAAACCTGAGCGTGCTCTGCATGGCTCTTGGAGGGTCCCCAGGAGACTGAGGCCCAGCTGCCCTGGTGGTGATCCCCTCTTTAACCTGTTATTGGCTTCCCTCCTTCCCTGCTCCCAGCATCACCTCCCAAGTCCTTGTCCCGGGGTCTGCTCTGGAGGAATTGGAAACAAGTACGGAAACCGCTGGGCAGAGAAAAGTCTGATCAATGGCAGTAGCTGCTACTGTCTTTGCTGTCATGATTAACAGAACAATGACTTCATTACCATGGCTCACACAACCCGAGGTGTCCAACCACAGGGACTCTGGGAAGTGTGAGCTAAGTCACCAGCGTTACGTATGCAGGGGCCAGCCAAACACCAGACAGAGAGTTCTAGAAAGGATGGCCATTTGGGGAAAGAGACTCCACAAAGGGCCATTAAGATGCACGAGATTCTATGAAAGCAAGCAAAGATGCTCCCAGACCATTCTGTTCCACATCTTGCCTCGGCCCACCTCTCCTTTCCCTGCACCCCGGCTTGCCCGGCATGAGGACAGGCTTAGGCCCCGAGAGAAGATGGAACCTGGCCTCTGAGCGCCGGCGGGCGTGTGCCCGAGCACGGCAACCCTGGCCCGGCTTCTGCAGCTCCAAGCCAGTTCCTGCCCGCAGCTCTCGGGCGGCCCACGCTGAGTTCAAAGTCAGCCTTCCTTCGGTTGTGACATGCCCGTTGGTGCCTGCCAAGTGCCCACTCTGCTCTCCGAGGCACCGTTTCATGTGGCACAGCACTCGCCCCGTACACACATCTGCACACACGCTCCTGCACACACAAACACACCCCCACCCCACCGTGTTCACCTGACTCGCTCTTCCCGGCCCCTCTGCTCGGCTCCACAGACAGCTGGGGTTTGAAGTTCAGAAACTCTCCCCACCTCCCCCACCCCTATCACGCGCGTCTTCTTGCCCCCCACCAGGACCCCTCAGGTGAGTCCTCCTCATGGGCCATGGAGGAGTCCCAGGCAGTGAGCCGGCCCCCTTCCAGAAACAGACCCACTCCGGCTTCCAGGGAAGTGAGCCATCCAGTCTGGGCCTTCCCTCTGCCGCTGGGCTCGGGCCTCGGCTTTGCCAAGCATCCCGAGACGACCTGCAGGGACCCGGGTGCACTCAGGAAGAAGCCAGCAACTCCGATCCTCAACTGGACGCTGCCTGCCCCTCAGCTCCTGCACTGAGGGCCCTTTGTGACCCGTCTTACTCCCTTTCCAGTGTCACCTCCCCCCACTCCCCACCCTCCACGTGCCAGCCACACAATGCAGCCTGTTATTCTCACATAACATGTGGGCACTTTGCTCCTGCTGTTCCCTCGGCCTGAAGTGCCCTCCTTATCCCAAAGGTGCCCCCATGTGTCTCCTCTCCCAACTCTTCCTCCTCCACTCAGAGGCCAACTCAGACACTCGCCCTCCCCACACAGAGAGTCTGGAATTGCCAAAGTGTCCATCATTCACACCCCTCCGGCCTGACTTAGGTGACCGCCCCCACTCCCATGCTCCCAGATCCCCGTCACATCACCAACTGTGCAGTTTCTGGGTCCGGGTCACTCATCTGTCCCCCTCACCACACTGTGCTCTGTGAGGGCAGGAACCACCCCCAGGTCACTGCTGGGTCCCGTGGTAATGAGCAGGTATCAATCAACATTGGTTGGAAGGAAGAAGGAAAGCGCTTACTCGGTCCTGGACACCCCCGTATGCACTTCACATGCATCAACTCATCATGTTACACCATCCCGATGAGATAGATGTTGTTACTGTCCCCACTGCACAGGGGAGGAAAGTGAGGCGGCGGCATGGCTGGGATATGAACCCCGGCCTGTGGCCCCAGAGCTGCACCCCAATGGTCTCATGAAGGAAGACAGGGGAGGAGGGTGGGAGGGAAAAGGAGAGTGGAGAGGAGCCGGCAAGCTCTGGCGGGCAGGTCTGGGTCTCGCTCTCAGCAAGAGAGCACTGTGCACTGTGCTCAGTGCACAGAAGGAGCTTAATACACTGTTCAGGGGTGGGGCGGGATGGACAGTGAGTCCTGGGAGGTCACGTCCCTTTTGTTGTTAACCGTGTGGGGAAACTGAGTCTCAGACAGAGTCAGGGACTCGCCCAAGGCCTCCTGCCTCCTGGCTGTCCACCCACCCGAGAGCCCCCACACGTTCCCCAGAACAGCCTCGGGAGCTGGAGAAAAGGTTTATTTCACCCACCAGGAAACTGAGGCCCAGAGAGGAAGTGGTCACCGGGTACAGTAACAGCAGCGCCAGGGCCAGAGCGAGGTCTCCCCTGTCCACTCTCACATCCCTCCCCCAGACTACCGGCCACAGCCCCGTGGGACCCTCTGGCCACCACCCCACGTTGAGAGGCTGGGGGCCGGGGCTGATGGGGGCAGGCAGCAGGGGTCCTCAGGGCTCGTGCTGAGCCGAGGCGGCCCCAGCTGGGGCAGGAGGTGAGGGGCCTTCCCACCCGGATGGGCCTCAGTTCCCGCCCTTGAAAACCACCACCGAGAAGAGAAACTCTCCTCTCCAGGGCCCGGCGCCAGGAAATGAAACTTACTTCAAATTTCAGCTGCTTCTTGGAGCCCGGGCAAGATTCGCTCGACTTCTCCATCCTCTTCTCATCTCCGCTGGCCAGCCCGTCCGTCTTCTCGGGCGGCAGGGCCACTGCGGGGAGGCAAGTGAGGCAGCATGAGGAGGAGAGTTCCGGGCCTCCCCACGCCCAGTCCCCGGGCTGCGGGGCCATCGCACTCGCTGTGGCTTTGTCTGGACCTGTGTGGAGGACCACCGCCAGGGCACTGGGGCCCCTTCCTGCCCTGCCCGTTTGCTGGAGTCAAAATTGCTCTGCTCTCCAGCCTCTGGGAATGTCCAGGCAGAGCCCTTCCCAGGGGGTGTCCATGCTGGCCACTCAGGTTACCCTAGTGGGCCTCTCAGGCCTCCGTCCTCTGCTCTGCCTCGGCAGCCCAGAGAAGCAGGCTGCGGCCCCCAGGGCAGTGTCGGGTGGATGAGGGCAGAGGGGTGCTCCTGGAGGCCCGAGAGGGAGCGCGTGGACCACGGCCGCTTTCTGCAGAGTCTCGCTGCCTTCTGTGCTGTCATTTTGGCCTCCTAGAAGACGCCGCCCGCCCAGGCCCAGCATAGAGCACATCGGTGGGTGGTTAGGAGTGGGGACAGGAATTGAGCTCAGCTGACATGGTGAAGGGCATGTGTGTGCACCAGCACGTGCACATGCACGTTCACACACACACACGCACACGCAAAATGGGATCTACAGGAACGAGCTCACCCATGCCTTTCATTCAGACTCTGCTCACCCAGGGGGTCCTCCCCTCCGCCAAAAGTCACGGCCCTTTGTGTGGCCTTCCAGGAGCAGAGGGAGGGAGGGTGTGACAGCCCGTGACCTACGGACACGGTTTCCCACAAACACCCCCAGGAGGAGCCAGGTGGGCAGCCCAGGGTGGCAGCCGTCATCCCGACTGAGGGCCCAGCCTACAAAGCTCCATCAAATCTTGAAATGTCTCACCGGACTCCTGCGGCCCCTTCTGCCCCTTTCATCTCGGCCTGATAAGGGGCCTCGGGTCTCCCCGGGCCATGCTTTTCCAGAACACGTTCACAGCCCCTCTCTCTTTAGATCCCTCAGCTCCCCAGGACGGTGATCCCATTGTCCTGCCTCACAGGTGAGCAGACGGAGCCCGCCTCCCACTCAAGGGGCCTCCCCCGATGCCCAACCTCAGGGGGCCCAGGAGGGCCAAGTGGGGAGCTGAAACGCCTGGGCAGCGGCCCCAACCATGGGTGGACTTTCTTGGGAAGTCAGGAGCCTGGAGAAAGGAGGCCACCAGGCCAGGAAACTAGGCGGGGGCTTTGCATCTCCCCCCGGCCCGTCCCCCCGACACTCACACACCCCAGCTCTGCAGACTAGGACCCACTGCAGATTAGGAGTGGAGCAGGGGAAGGTATGGTAGGGGCTCCCCAAGTCGGGCCTGGGCCCACGCTCTCCCGCTTCGCTCCTGGCCCTTTCCGGCAGTTATCTGAAGCACTTCCCATGGCGCCCCTCACACCTTGGTGGCCTCCCTGCATAAAGACGTGGCGGTGACCTCACGCAGGCCCAGGCCTGAGGCAGTGCTGACGAAACACCTGCCATCCATCGACTCGCTGGGTCCTCAGTGCAACCCTGTGAGGCAGGTACTGCCAGTGGCTCCACTTCCCAGGTGGGAAACCGAGGCACAGAGAGGTTGAGTGCTTTGCTAGTAAATGGCGAGGCTGGGATTTGAACCCAAGCAGCCTGACTCACACCCACGACCCCTCCGCGAGGCAGCCCCTGGTGCTATTCCTGGCGTCGTTTCTTTCAGCCAGCCTGGGAGGGGGTGGTCTCTGCTTGGGTCCTGAGCCTCCCTCCACCATGTGTGGTCCAGGGCAGGTCACATGACTTCTCTAGATGTCTCAGTTTCCCCAACTGTAAAATGGGCATGACAGTCCCCTCCCCAGAGGATTCTATGTGACCCAAGGAGCTAAGACTGGAAAGGGCTAGGAACAGGCCCGGCCACTGGTAGGAACAGTCAGGGAGTGAGGTCCCCTCCACATTTAATTTTTTGGGAATCAGGACATTTGGTCTAAAACCTGAGGCCTTTGGAATACAAACAGACACAAAAGCATCATATCACATACGGCAGCCCAGGGTGGGGAGCAGGACAAGGGAGCAGGAGATAAAGATAAGTATGCTCCGGTCCCCAGTCCAGACAGGCGGGGACAGGAAGGCCACGGCGGCCACTGGCTGACCCGCCTCCATCCTCAGCTGCCCTCTCAGCTGGGCCTGGGGGCCGGGGCAGCCATGCCTGGGTGCCCCCTTCCTTCTCTTCATCCAGGGCACACCCAGCAGGATGCGGGGAGCGCCCAGCCCACGGTGCCCCCACAGCAAGGCAACAACTCCCTAGAGCTGTCAGGGGCTCTGACCAGAGACCCCGTCACCACCACAGACCCCAGCTCCTCCCTGGTGGTTTCACAGAACGAGGCCAATGAGCACAAACCTAAAAGATCTGGCTCCTCGGAGACCTCCAGGGTGGGGCAAGGCATCCTCCCGTTGGGGTGGCTGTCGGGGGAAGGTCCTGTTGCTGACCACTTCTGACGCAGTGGATAAAACCAAATCTGGCGCTTCCTGCTTCTCCAAAGCGAGCACCTCGATGGCCAGGAGGTGTCTCCAGGGTGACGCCAAGCTCCGGGGAAGTCAGGTGGGTGATTAGGCAGTGACCCAAGCACAGCCGAGCATACAGCCTGGGCCACCCTGACTCCTCCATCCCAAATCTACTGGTGTCCTGCTGGGCCAGAGCTGTCACCATCATGGGACCAGCAGGGTGTGATGCGCAGCGTGTCCACCAGCCCACAAAGCAGTAGGTACCTCCGTCACCCCCATTTGAAAGATGATAAAATGAGACAAAAAGGTCCAGAGGCTTGTCTGCGCCAGTCAGGGAGCCGGGTCTCCCCCCGCTCCCAGCATAAGGGAAGCCCTCAGCTCTGCAAGCCCCCAGCAGCTGCAGTGGGCGCAGCTGAGCTCGGCGGGAGCGGCCCAGTGGACAAGCACATCTGGACTCCCATCCTGGGCTCATCTCCCGACTCTACCGCTGATTGGCCTGGGCGGCCTGGGGTAAGGTGCCTGACTCCTCTGGATCTCAGTCTCCTCATCTGTAAAATGGGGATGCGACGGTCTGTCCCTCATGTGGCTACTGGGAGGGCGATGAGAAAAGTGCCTCTTAGCACCATGGCCTGCACGCAGTGGTGTTCAATAAATGTTGGCTTTGCCAAAGATGTGGATGAGCCAAGCTCCCAGCTGACGGTGCTGTCAGGGCCTGCAACATCCTCTATTCACTCCCCCCGCCCCGGGGTGGGGAGAAGAAGAAGACAAAGAAGAAAGAAAAACAAAAGCCAGCTCCACCTTCACAGCAGCTGCCTGCCTCCGCAGAGGTCCTGGCTGGAGGCGTAAGCAGGCCAGGCTTATCGCAGCCGAACTTCAAGTTCAAAGGGAAGCTATCAGAACACCAGCTTCAGGTTCCATGCTGCCTTTCAAGTTCCACTTGATAAAACCCAAAGAAAAGAAACCTCTGTCCCTGCTCGCTCCTCCTCCGGGGCACCCTCCTCCACACACGCATGCGGACAGCCTGTCCTCCCTCAGGGCCTCCCTGCCTCCCTTCCTTTCTCCTCTCCCAGGCAGCTGGAAAACGTCCCCCTCGACCCCTCACCCTCTTCCTACGTCTTCTCCAAAGACCAGGGTGGCCTGGATGGTCCTCTCTTCACCAGGGGGTCCCTCATTCCATCTCAGCTCAGAAAACCACCCAGATGCCCACAGGGGGCCCCTTCCCAGCGTGGGGCTGGGCATGAGGACAGTCAGCACCCCTTTGCCCCCACAAAGAGGGCCTTTCACCCTCTCACTGCCCCTGCCCAATGGCCAGAGAGGCGGCAGATAATCGATCAGAAAGCCACGCAGACCCCAATGCCAGAGGCAGGGGCTGGCACTCTGGGGCCCTGCTTCTATATCCACCTCCGAAACCAAACGATGTCAAACCGCCACCGGTCCCAGCCATCCCTGTGCAGAACAGACCCCCTGCTCACGGGCAGCTGGGAGAGGGGTGAACGGTGCTCGCTGCTGGCTGCCCAGGTCCAGCCAGCCGGCAGTGAGAAGGATACTTTGTCGAGACCGGCTTGGCACCAGGGCCCGAGCCCATTCTGTCTCTTCCATTGCTCAGCCCAGTGATATTCTTCCCAGAGCTGGTTTTTGGGGGGCGTAATCTCAGGGGACTCTGATCACCCTTCAGTTGCAAGTCGCAGTAACAACAGGAGATACTGCTGATTTGAAAGAAGAAAGAAAAGCAGGGGGAAAGGTAGGAGAAAAAGGAAGGGAAGGGAGAGCGTGAGGAGGAGGCAGAGCCCTTCACGGGCCTCTGAAGGATGTTTGGGTGGCCTAGAGCAGGGGTCAGCAAACTGCCCCGTGAGCCAAACCCGGCCCACCACCTGTATTTGTAAATAAAGTTTTATTGGGACACAGTTATGCTCATACGCATCGTCTGTGGCTGCTTCACTCTACAATGGCAGACTTTAGTCACAACAGAGACTGTATGGCCCACAAAGCCTAAAATACGTACTCTCCTGGCCCGTTACTGAGTTTGTGAACTGCACTTTGGTAAATGCAGCCCTCCACCCCCACCAGGGTACACACTTGATAAGTAGGGTGCAGGCCGGATTTTACGTGCTGCTCACCTGCTTACTTGGAAACCCTTGTGCAGTACACAACCTGCCCAACCCTACACAGTAGCCATGGAAGAAAGAAAATGTCAACTCTGCTTTCTTAACACCAGTTCTCAGCCCAGATGAGCCTGGGGCAGCGTACGGAGCTCCTTCTCTTTGGAAGCTGCTCCCTGCCCCGCCTCACACCCCAGCCACGAGGAGCCGGAGGGCTGTGTTTACCAGATGATGGTTCTCTCCCACATTAGCTCCCAGCCTGGCATCTCTCCACCCCCAGCAACTGCCAGATTAAATGCATTACTTGACCATCTTCACCCGGCTCCCTTTGATGTTCCCTTCTCAAGCTTCAAAATACCTTTTGGAGGGAGATCAGACAGCATTAAACAGAATTACTAATTAATTAAGCAAAGTTAAATTTTAAACACTGTTTGTTGTGTTAG